AACTGATGAAATAATCAGTATATTATAGATCCAACCTCATTTTTGAAAGAGACTTGCATACTACATTGTTTAATGGGTATCACAATTTACCCATTTCATCATTAATAGGATTTTAGACTATCTCCAGCTTTTTGATATGACAATGCTATAATGAAAATTCTTCAATATATATGTAATATATATTAATATCCTTAACATACTTTTGTTATACTTAAGATGTTTCATAAACATGTTACAAACATACACATAGAAATACACAAGACATATATGCGTGCATGTATATCTATATTCATGTAGCCAACATATATATATATATAACATACAATAGGCCAACGTATATATGTAATATACAGTAGGGAAAGATACACACATACATACACAAACAGATACATATATCAGAATATATATGTTGGCTGATTGTATGTTATATATAACATGTAATAAACGTCCATAACTTGTGTGTATGTGTAAAGTCATATTTCCTGCAGGATCCAGTCTCAGAAGTAAAGCTGACACATTAAAGGAATGACATATTTGAAATTTTGATACATGCTATTAAATTACTCTTCAATATCTACCAAATAAGTGTACGAGAGAACTTTTTTTCACATTTGCCCACACTAGGTACGTTTTAATAAAACACCAATATGCTTGGAAAAACTGTATCTAATTGCCTGTTAATTTGCATTTTTCTGATTACCACGTAAGACAGAATATTCCCGGTGAAAGTATAAAATTCATTAATCATGCATATTATTTGAAATTAGAATTCATTTGATAGTACAATAACAATAATGTACTATCAAATAGTGCTATAGGCTTACCTATTGTACTCTTCCCTCTTCTGCCTGGGAAATTGACGATCATCAGATTTCCTGCCCCTCCTTTCTTGAATTAATTCATCATCATCATCATCATTGTCACTGTCATCAGCATGTAGGTTTCTTGACACTTTCATTTTCTTATTTCTGCACTTTCTCATTTTTTCTGCAACCTTCAATGAAAGTGTGACACTGAGAATAAATGTCATTATTTCATCCAATAGAATCAACTGTTCATTTTGTCGCTTGACTCAGTCTGTCATGATAATAATCATTAAAATACTTTGGACTTCCATTTTATCATTATATAATTACTAGCATGTTATAATTTTTCCATTGAAATTCATATAAAGTCTAATTCATTTCTGTTTGAGTGAATACAACAAAATTTTCCAAACTTTCAAAAAGGGTCCATTCCAAATTTGTGCTTTTATTCCCATCCACTCTTTGCTAATATAAATTTTCACCATTTTGTGACGAGCAGAAATAGAGAAACAAAAGGAGAAAGGCATGAAATCGGTCCTCCTCTATTTTTACCTCCTGGAGTTTACACTCAATGGCCAGATTTAGAGAATGTGACATTGTGGGGTTTCAGGAACAGAAAGGAAACTTTTCCCTCTCTGGGTAAGCTTTCCCCACTGTCTTTTATCTTTCTTTATTCATTCGGATCCTAGACTTCAAAAATGTGAAGGTGCCTACTGAAATGCAGGAACCAAAATTCGAAACCACAGAAGCAGAGTGAAACTGCTGAGATGCTAGTAGAGTTCTGGAAAATGAGATGCTTTCCAAATTTCACATTCAGTAACCATGAGATTTTATAGCTGGAGAACAGACAGTGTAATTATCTACTTTAGCCCTGTTATCAAAAAAGATTAAATGACTCATCCAAAGCTCCTAAAGTGGCATTTCCTAGCATTTTAGGGCTCAAAAACCAATAATGCTATTTCATAATGCCGAGTCAGATAAATTATCTGATAAATTCATCAAATTTATCAGAAGAATTGAAAGTATCGCTCTGGGAAAGTAACTTAATGCTTCACCAGGGGCTGAGAGACCTCATCTACTTTTACTTTTAAAGGTCGGTATCACCAGATTTTTGTCTATCTTTAAAACTTGATGTACAGAAATCAGGTTTCTACTTTGGAGTCAAAAACTAAATTCTTGGCTGAGAATCTATGATATCTATATGATAAAGTTATCATGCTAAAATTTACCATACTCTATTAAACAAAATCACATTAAGATCTGATTTGACAGAAACATGTAAAAGTGGTGATTAGAAAAATAGATGGAGGGAGGTGGCCAGGTGTGGTGGCTTACACCTGTAATCCCAGCACTTTGGGAGGCCGAGGTGGGCAGGTCACAAGGTCAGGAGATTGAGACCATCCTCGCTAACACAGTGAAACCCTGTCTCTACTAAAAATACAAAAAATTAGCCGGGCGTGGTGACGGGCACCTGTAGTGCCAGCTACTCGGGAGGCTGAGGCAGGAGAATGGCGTGAGCCCGGGAGGCGGAGCTTGCAGTGAGCCGAGATCATGCCACAGCACTCCAGCCCGGGCGACAGAGGGAGACTCTGTCTCAAAAAAAAAAAAAGGAAAAAGAAAAAAGTAAAATAGATGGAGGTATCTATATATATTTGTTTTCAAAGATATTTAAGGAGTTCACGGTGAAATTATAAGCCCCAACATAATGAGTTAAATGAATAAACTTGCACACCTGAAAGCACAACATACAACATACACCTTTGACTATATTTGTTCCAACTCTCATGGATAGGTAGATTTTTATATCATTTCTCAGTCATTGCGCTTCCTCCCCACTGATTTCCCACTTTTTTAAGTAAGTGCAATTCATCCTCAAGACTATAGGGAAAAATTAGGTCCTAGAGCTTATTACATTCTTTAAGCAATTTCCTATATGCTTACTCTACTTCAGAAGTATCCATATCCATGGTGCATGGATAGATTAGTTTCCCAGTCCCAATGCCACTTAAAAAACTGATAGAGAGACTTGGGTTGATTAAGAAACAAAGACTATAGAATGTTCTCCTGAACTTCTATCATTTAGATAGAAAAATAATCTATTTCCACACACAATTATGTATTTAGTAGCCCCAATTTACACAAGAGCTTTTCATAAGTAAAAAAGTAGAATGCACCAAATAATTGATCAAGAGAAAAAACCATGTAGCAGCAAGTGGCCCTCTACGTCTTTCTCAAGTTGAACTTTTTCTTTCTTCAAAGTCAGGAACTCTAGTTTTAATATGCCTACTTCATTCTTCAGTCTTTGTATACTGTGCTGTAACTATTCTTCTCAGCGTACTTTTGATGTTCTGTCACTATGTGGTGGAGAGGAATGCACATTTTCTAATCCAGTTCTATTCTTTTATAGTTACTTGCACTGCAATTATGATATAATGGTTTCTGGAGCAAGTTTCTGTAACAATAGAAACACCATGCCGTTTTGTTTACTCACATGCTTCATTTCTCTGGAGGAGGTAAGTCACAAATCTAAAAGGCTTTTTGGATCACTATACTGAGGCAGCACATTTCTGATGTCCAATTTGCAATTAGTGTTGTTTTCATCATGTGCCTATAACACTCTTGGTCTTCTTTTATTTCAATGATAACTACTTCTGGGTTCCTTGCTTTTGTATTTCCTGTGTCATTATAAAAATTCTATTGCTCTGTGTTAAAAACATGTACAGTGTCTGGTTTGTTATTTATTTTCGTTTTTAAAATAAAAATCAGAAGGTGACTGGCAAGCATATTCCAGGGACCCAGCGTAGAAATGAAATGGAAAGACATTTATGAGACTGAACTATTTTTGTTCAGAAAATATCTGGAATACTACACATAGGAATATTCCAGATGCATTCCTTCCTGACCATCACGTATATTATTTTTCAAATTAGAAGGTATGTTCTTTACATTTCTTTCTTCCTGTAGTGGCTCTTCCTCTGAACAATCCAAAGTTTTGGATTCTTCACAAATTTTACTCAATCTCTGCTTTAACTTAATTGTGATGAGTTTTAAAGTTTTTTCCACCCTCATTTGCCTTGTTTGACCCACATTTTCTCCTATTTTTGCACACAAAGGAGTCCTGCACATAGAGATGTATGCTGTCTATCACAGTACTTGTTCACTTCTGTTTCTAGAGACATTTTTGCAAATGCAAAAGTGGAAGATTAATTTGCTAGTTTTGTTTGTCAGATGTCTTTTTTGTCAGGGTGCATGTTTTAAAGATAACTTTGTCATTAAATAATCAAGTATGGAAAAATAAAATTAAAAAATAATAAAACTTTAACTGTTAAACTGCTTATTCTATGTTTATCTACTCCCAATCACTGGACTGTAATTAGTTAAGTTAAAACTAATTTACATTAGCCTAAAATAGGGGAAAAATATCAACCATCAATCTTAACTTTGTAACTGTTTGTTTGGACTAAGATAAATTCGTTATGTGTTTAATTTACCAAAAATGAATTAAAAGGTGATTTGCACTATTACAAAGGCATCTTCACTTAAGAAAATTTTATCTCAGTGTATCTGAAATAGTGACACTCAACAAACAGTGCACACTTGGGTGCTTTTTTTCCAAAGATTACTAACTGATGAGTAGGCAAACTTTTAACAGAAATCAAAATCAACACTAATCAGAAACAAAGCCAAATTCATAAAATTTAATTCAAACTATAAACCGTAATATGATAGTGTTATGTAGGAGTCTATATAGACTATAGTGTTAAGTCAAGTTTCAATATATTCTAAAGTCCACTAATGACAGTGATTTAAAAAAATTTTAACAATAGTTACAGACTTCCTATACAGAAATAAGTTAGAAAGTTACTGTTTGTACCCTCACATCAAAGCTCCCATTCTGCAAGTCCGGTTCTCGTGACAGGCAGTTGGGTTGACTTTATGACCCCATTCTCTCCCTGAACACAGATACTAAAGTCAATTAAAATTTACAATGGAGAATACATTTTTAATCATAGTATTAGTGACCAGTAATATATAAAGTTGCAAATTTTGAACCATTAGCAATGATTACTCCCTTTAATATGAACCCAAGTCAGCAGCCATCACTGTTAAATTGTTCATAATTTTGACTGCTTAAAATTATAATTCATTATTTGATGTTACCTTATTATATTAGGATGTTATAAAAATGAACAGCAAACAATATTTAGGAACTTTTGGCTTCATTTTCAAGAGAAAAGATTAGCTATAAATCACTACAGATTCTGAAAATATTTTCAGTTTTATAACCAATTAAAATGTTTTTAAATTAAATATTAAATTATAATCAACTGATTCTAAAAGGCAAGTCCAAAGGTAATTTCATTTGAACTATGTTATGTTACCAAAGCAACGAAAACCAGAAATTTGAAATTAAATTTTTACAAACCTGTGGCTGGTTATTTTCACATCCTTGAAGCCTGTCTTGCTTTCCCTCTGATATCAATTTTAAGTCTTGTTCTGCTCAAAAATCCATATATTTCATTAAAATGAATTACTTAGAACAGTTAGATAAAAGTTATAGTCTTTATAACCATGAATAAAAAACATATTTTTCTTTCATAAAATGAGAGTTTAAATAAAGCTTAATCTCTAGTGGGGTATCTGCTTCTTTAAAAAATACTTCTTTAAAAAATTCTCCAAAACTTCAACAAACCACGTGGCAAGACACTAGCTGTCACCAGAGTCAAGCCATACATTCATCTCATAGATTCACTCACAATTTTATTCACCCATCATCAGTGAACAAAACCACCAGAAACAAAAAAATTAAAAATCCAAAAGAAACAGATAAAGTAATACTGTATATTTTCCTTTACTTTATAATAGTACCTTTGTAACAATACACTAAGCCTGTTATTTAGTACTAATAATTTCCAATATGACTTTCTCTTTACCCCTTCATCAGTGTACACTCCGTTCTTTATAACTGAAATGTTTTCCTCTACTATTCTGACAAATTTCTATTCATCTTATAAGACTAATACACCTATGTGATGTCTTCCCTGATTCTATCTTTCCCTAGATAAAACTTGTATATAACGTAAATTTCATAAGACACGCAGTTAAGGTGTCAAAAGCGAGGTTATATTTCAACAGACTATAACTAAATTACAAAAGTGCACATACTCCAACGACAAGAAAAAAAAAGATCTTCAATAAGAATAGCAATAATGACCCTGAAAGGATAAATGTCAAAGATAATGGGAGAGTGGTGTAGCATATCGTTACTGCAACACATCAGATTCATTTATACCATTATCCTACAAGTATCCATCATATTCAACTATTTGTCTTGTAATTGAGGAATTACACAGTTGTGATGAAACATAAGCTGAACATATTCAATTCTCATCAGATAAACTGTTCCGAATTCATCAGCTCAGATAGTTGTAGAATAAGTTAATATGAATATACATCTTTTTAAATTACAAGGTGAGTTACTGCTATGTGTAAGTTGATTGTATGGTGTGGTTTGCCCTGTCTTAAAGTTTCTTGATCCACTCATGCAAGATGGTATATAAAACATATCACAAAATAATGTGTGAGCAACTTTCAATGTGTAAATATTTATTGCAAAAAATAAAAATTTCACATTCATTGTATTAAGCTTTTATGTTTCAAAATCAGTACAATGTTTACTAAAAACATTAGTTTTGTTATTCGAGGAACAAATCCTGTACTTTTTTTGTTTCTGAAACTACTGTGATTGAGTATACCATCCTAGTCTCTCAAGTACTTTTATGGAACAGCTATCTAATTAAAAAAAAAAAGCTTTCTTAATTAAAAAAATAGCTTTCTTAACAAAAGCAGTAAAAGTTCTTTAGTTCAAATGAGTTTCATTTGATTATCTAATATAAATTTAACTTATATCTTTGATGTGTGATATAAAGTACAGCAATGAGTTGCTATGGTTTACCTCAATTACTGCACTCCCTCCTCCTTCCAGTAATTTCAAGGGCAGTAATAATCTAATGTCCTGAGTGCAAACATACTGAAGCCGTCTGTTTTAAGTTCTCTCAAGTGTCCTCATCACTAACTCCAAAACTACGGAGATAGCTTATTTCTTTCCTCCCTCATTCCCACTTCACAGTCTCCATGTCTTCGGAAAAGTCTCTCAATGTGTGGTCTTTCTTCTTCTTGCATATACCTCTCATGGATTATGCCCACTTCTTTCCTCTTCATTAAGCAGTAGGATCTCACATCAATAATTTCTATTTCATAATTTTACCCTCTGGCTGGAAACATATTCAGAAATAAAAGCAATACAACACTTTCCCTTGGCCCTTTTATGTCTTGAACTGCTATCCAACAGCAGTCCACGGGCAAACAGGTATACGGTTGAGCGCTCAACAGCACTGATCACCAGAGAAATCCAAATCAAAACAACAGTGACAGATCATCTCACCACCCCAGTTAAAATGGCTTTTATCCAAATGACAGGGCATAATGAGTGCTGATGAAGATGTGGACGACAAGGAACCCTCCTACATTGTGGGCATGTAAATTACTACAGCCACTACGGAGAATACTGTGGAGAGTCCTCAAAAAACTAAAAGTAGGCCAGATGTGGGGCTTATGCCTGTAATTCCAGCACTGTGTGAGGCCAAGGCAAGAGGATTGCTCGAGCTCAGGAGTTTGAGACAAGCCTGGCCAATAGGGTGAAACTCTGTCTCTACCAAAAATGAAAACAATTAGCCAGGCATGGTGGCATGCACCTGTGGTCCCAGCTACTTGGGAGGCTGATGTGCGAGGATCATCTGAGACCAGGAGGCTTTTTTTTTAATTTTGGCATCTAAAAAAAAAAAAAAAACCCCAAAACTCAAAGTAGAACTACCATATGATCCCAGCAATCCCATTGCTAGGTATATACTTAAAAAGCAAGGGAATCAGTAAACTGAAGAGATATCTGCCTTCTCATGTTTATTGCAGCACTCTTCACAATAGCCAAAATGTAAAATCAACCTATTTGTACACCAACAAATGGACAAAGAAAATGTACATATACACAATGGAATACAGTCCAGTCATAAAAAAGAATGAGATCCTGTCATATGCAATGGCATGGATGGATATACATTTTCTCATCAGAAACTTCAAAATTACCAGCTCACTTCTTTCTTTCCCCTCTGTCCGTGCTCACAGTCTATCTACTTTGTGAAAGATTTCTACATCTGCAGTCATGATTCTTCCCACTCCACATTTTTTATGGATTACTACCACCACATCTCTGCTCTTGTTTTAGCAATAGTATCTTACATCTATAATTTCTATTTCTTCACCTCTTTCTACTTCCCCTCTGGCTAGAAACATGATCTGAAATAAAAGCAAAATCATGCTGTCCTCTGAGCCTGTTATGTCTTAACTGCTCCCCAGCGGCTCCTTTCCAATTCCTATATAGGAAAAAAGTCTGTAACACTGCCACTCAAGAGTGTGGCTCGAGGATCAGCAGTGTCAGCATCGCCTGAGAACTTAATAGAAATGCAGAATCCCAGGCCTGCTGAATCAGAATATGAATTTTAACAAGGCCCCCAGACGATATATTGAAGTGTGAGAAGTTCTGTTCTACACTCACTGTATATGACTTTAAATTGTATACATGCATAGATGACCACACATGCTTATATTCACCTATGGTAGATAAAACATAGAACTGCCTGGTCAGGTTCTTCCATCAATGAGGAAGACAGGAAGAATTAAAAATTTTGCTCCAATTCTCCGACAAGTTTTGGTGCTAGAAGCCCACTGTATCTTCTTCTCACTTTTCTAAAACCCTTTTCTTCCTTTTTCTTGAGACGGAGTCTCGCGCTGTCGCCCAGACTGGACTGCTCACTGCAAGCTCCACCTCTCGGGTTCATGCCATTCTCCTGCTTGGGTCTCCAAAAGTGCTGGGATTACAGGCGTGAGCCACCGTGCCCGGCCCCTTTTTCTTCCTTTTTCTAAGGAATTATTCTATTTTGCCACATTCTATGTACCTTCTTTTTCCTTCATTTACCCCTGCACTCACTGCCTTTCTCATTCTTCATTCCCTCTTCTCTCCTTTCTTCTTACTTCCTGACTTTCCTCAGATCTCAGAATACCTTGAAATGCAGCTATTAATTCAGCTCCTTTAGTGGCACTCTCAATTTACTCTCCTGTGGATGTGTGTTAATATATAAAATGTATCACCTTTTCACTTTTCTTTTTTCTTACTGTGCATTTAGTAAGTGACCTTCCTTTGCCTGTTGTAATACATAAGTGATGGTGTTTTCAAGTAAACATTATGTAAAATGCATTTAAAAAAAATACAATTATTACCATCTACATTTCCATTTACTGCATTTTTCCTCTGCTGATCAGCAGGCCCAGATGAATGACCACCATGCTTCTGGAGAAGATTCTTGGAGATACTCTGTTAAAATTAATATCAACAATGAGTTTCAATATAAAATAACAATAATAGTTGCACAAAAAAGTCCTAATTACTCATTTTAAAAATCCAAATGTCGCCGGGCGCGGTGGCTCAAGCCTGTAATCCCAGCACTTCGGGAGGCCGAGACGGGTGGATCACGAGATCAGGAGATCAACACCATCCTGGCTAACACGGTGAAACCCCGTCTCTACTAAAAAATACAAAAAACTAGCCGGGCGAGGCGGCGGGCGCCTGTAGTCCCAGCTACTCGGGAGGCTGAGGCAGGAGAATGGCGTGAACCTGGGAGGTGGAGCTTGCAGTGAGCTGAGATCCGGCCACTGCACTCCAGCCTGGGCGACAGAGCGAGACTCCGTCTCAAAAAAAAAAAACCCAAAAAAACATCCAAATGTCCTATATTAAAAGCAGTTAGACTTAAAAATAAGAGAAGCTGGTATTGAAAACCAAAACAGTTCTTTTTTTTGTTTTGAGAGCCAAGGCTGGAGTGTAATGGCACGATCTCGGCTGACTGCAACCTCCCATTCCTGGGTTCAAGCGATTCTCCTGCCTCAGCCTCCTGAGGAGCTGGGATTACAGGCGCACGCCACTACGCCCAGCTAACTTTTCTATTTTTAGTAAAGATGGGGTTTCACAGTGTTGGCTAGGCTGGTCTCGAACTCCTGACCTCAGGTGATCCACCCGCATCGGACTCCAAAAGTGCTGGGATTCCAGGCATAAGCCACTGTGCCCAGCCTGAAAACCAAAACATTTCAATAGAGAACCTCACATACACTGTTTAGATGGAGCTTATTTTTTATCTTCATTAGGCTATTGACTCTGTAAAACTGAGTATGGAAGGCAAAAGGAAACCTATTTACAGACAAAGTATTAACTTAGCTGCATATTTCAACAAGACACTTACTTCAGAAGACCTAACTCTAATTTGCAATCTCCATCAAAAGTAAGAGGGCACTACAAAAATAAATTTGCTACATTAGGGCATTTAACATTTAAATTATTCCCAATTATAGAATTTTTTATTATTAAAAGACGATAACTGGCATGACAAGAA